TCTTTGAGTGACAGAGGGATGAAAGAGGACAGAGCGAGACAAGGCATCTGAGTGTTGGTGAATGGCCTTACTTTCCCCCTGAATTGTGAAGCAAGGTTTCCAGATGAGAGAGGAGGGGTGGGCACCTGAATTCTTGTTTTCTTGTCAGACAGCTCTAGTTGTAGAAAGAAATCTATTTCCCTAAAACTTCCATTATTTTGCTCCAAGTTCTGCCCTCTGGGGCCATGCAGAGCAAGTCTTCTTCCATGGAAGAGACCTTCTAGTATTTGAAGTTCCCTCTGTCTTTCCTTCCTTAAGCCAGTCTTCATGAGCATGGTCTGGAGGCCCTCGTCATCCACACACCTTCCAGTTAAATGTCACCTGTTCTATGTCCAGGTAAGACCTTCCCTGCCCAAACAGAAAAGAGAAGCTAATGATGACTGGGGAAGCCAGGAGGCAGAACAAGGCAAGGCTACAGAATGGTAGGATTGAGAATTGGATCAAGGCTTGAAGTCCTCTGCTAAAAACTTTGGGACACTGCTAATGTGGAGATTTGCTTTGCCTGACTATGCATATTTCTTATAAAGGTATTGTTTTCCTTATCTTTCACTTTTTTTTTTAGAGGGGAAGACAAGGAGAGAAACTAAATGCTTGTTATTTAAAAGAATAAAGCGCAAGTTCAAAAAACTTTTTTTAGGGGGCAGCTAGGTGGCGCAGTGGATAGAACACTGGCCCTGAAGTCAGCAGGACCTGAGTTCAAATCCAGCCTCAGACCAAACACTTGACACTTACTAGCTGTGTGACCAAGAGCAAGTTGCTTAACCCCAATTGCCTAAAAACAAAAAACTTTTTTTTTTCCTGCTAGGAAGCAACTACAGTGTAGTAGATAATATGTTAGCATCAAAATCTGGAAGACCTGAATTCAATGTAGTGGAGTCCTGGGCAAGACAGCAAGCTTTGGTTTTCTCATCCATAAAGTGAAAGGATTGGTCTTCATTATTTATAAGGTCCTTTCTAATTCCAAAGAGAGGAGCTAGAAGGGACAGCCTGTCCCCTTTGGACAAAATGTCCTTGACCCTCTTGCCCAAACTCCTAATCTTCCAGATGTAGAAGCTAAGGCTGAGAGAGCTTAATTTCCCAATGACAGAGCTGGGATTGTAATTAGGTCTTCTGAGTCTAAAGTAATGATTTTTGTTCTTATTTTGCCATATTAGTGGTTCCTCTTGTGCAGAGGTGGGGAACCTGCAGCCTCCAGGGCACATATGGCCCTATAGGTCCTCAGGTACAGCCCTTTGACTGAATCTAAATCCCCTGATAAGGGGATTTGTTCTGTAAAGTTTGGATTCAGTCAAAGGGCCACACTTGAAGACCTAGAGGGTAACATGTGGTCTCAGTGGCCCAGGTTCCCCACTCCTGTTCTAGCCTGTCCATTCCTCTCTTTCAATGAAAGTAGGAGTCTGGTAAGTGGGTCAGCATAGAGATCAAGGGGAAAGAGCCTGGAAGTAGACCATCCTAGACCTGGCCATCACTATCCTTTGGTTTGCCAAGTTGGGGAGTGAGGGGATTTCCTTTAAAAAAAAAATCAAGAATGTCATCTCTGGAAGGGACCTTAGAGATATCTAGGAAGAACAAAAGGTCCAGAATATCAAGGGAATTAATGAGAAGAAATGCTAAGGAAGGTGGTCTAGCCATACCAGATTGTAAATTGTATTATAAAGCAGCAATAATCAAAATTACCTGGTATCGGCTAAGAAATCGAGTGATGGATCAGTGAAATAGAGTAGGTACACAAAACACAGTAGTTAGTGACTATAGTAATCTACTGTTAGATAAACCCAAAGACACCAGCTTCTGGGATAAGAGCTCATTATCTGACAAAAACTACTGGGAAAACTAGAAAATAATATGGAAGAAACTAGGCATAGACCAACATCTTACACCATATACCAAGATAAAGTCAAAATGGGTACCCAATAAAGGCTGATACTATAAGCAAACTGGGAAAGCAAGGAAGAGTTTACCTGTCAGATTTATGGAGAACAGAAGAACTCATGACCAAACAAGAGATAGAGAACATTATGAAATGCCAAATGGACAATTTTGATTACATTATAAAAAGTTTATGCACAAACAAAGCTAATGCAACCAAGATTAGAGGGGAAGCAGAAAACTGAGAAAGAATTCTTACAACCAGTGTCGCTGATAAAGGCTTTATTTCTAAAATACATAGAGAACTGAGTCAAATTTATAAGACTACAAATCATTCCCCAATTGATAACTGATCAAAGGATATGAACAGGCCGTATAGTCATATGAAAAAATTCTCTAAATTACTATTGATCAGAGAAATGCAAATCAAAACACCTCTGAGGTACCACATCACAACTATCAGATTGGCTAACATGACAAAACAGGAAAATGATAAATGCTGGAGATGTAAGAAAATTGGAACACGAATGCATTGTTGGTGGGGTAGTGAACTGATTCAATTGATCCAACTGTTCCATTCTGGAGAGCAATTTGGAACTATGCTCAAAGGGCTGTAAAACTGGGCATACCCTTCGACTTAGCAATACTACTTCTAGGACTATATCCAAAGAGATCATAAACATGGAAAAAGGACCATGTGTACAAAAATATTTATAGCCACTCTTTCTGTGGTGATAAAGGATTGGAAATTGAGGGGATACCAGTTGGGGAATGGCCAAACAAGTTGTGGTATATGAATGTAATGGAACAGGATTGTGCTATAAGAAATGATGAGCAGGTGGACTTCAGAAAAACCTGGAAGGACTTATATGAAGTGATGCTGATGGAAGTGAGTAGAACCAGGATAACATTGTACATAGTAACAGCCATATTATGTGATGACTAACTTTGATAGACTTATCTCCTCTTAGCAATGCAAGGACCTAATACAACTCCAAAAGCTCATAATGGAAAATGCTGTCCACATCCAGAAAAAGAACTATGGAGTCTGAATGCAAATCGAAGCCTATTATTTGCTCTCTCTCTTTTTTGTTTTGTTTCTTCTTTTTCATGGTTTCTCCCTTTGGTTCTAATTCTTCTTTACAACATAACTAATGTGAAAATAGGTCTAATATGAATGCATATATTGAGCCTATATCAATTTACACGCCATGTTGGAGTGGGGAGAGGAAAGAGCTAGGGAGAAAATTTGGAACTCAAAATCTTATGGAAATGAATGTTAAAAACTAAAAATAAATACATTTTTTTTTAAAAAAAAGAGTATCAAGGGAAGTAATGGAAGAAAAGGTGAAGGAAAGTAGCCTAGCAGTACTAAATCTCAAACTGTATTACAAAGCAGTAATCATCACGACAATCTGGTACTGGATAAGAAATAGAGAAGAGGACCAGTGGAATAGATTAGGTATAGAATACGCAGCAGAAAATGACCATGGTAATCTAGTGCTTGACAGATGCAAAGATCCAAGCTTTGGGGACAAGAACTCACTGTTTGGCAAAAAAAAAATGCTGGGAAAACTGGGAAGTGGTTTGGCAGAAACTAGGTATAAATGAATATCTCATACTATATATCAAGATGTGGTGTTAGTGGGCACCTGATTTAGACATGAAGGGAGATGTCATCAACAAATTAGGGGAGTGTGGAATATCTTACCTGTCATATATATGGATAAGGAAAGAATTCATGACATAACAAGACAGAGAGAGCATTACAGGAAGCAAAATGGATAGTTTTGATTACATTACATTAAAAGGGTTTTGTACAAACAAATCCAATGCATCCAAGATTAGAAGGAAAGCAGAAAACTGGGAAAACATTTTTTGGCAAATTTCTCTTATAAAGACCTAATTTCTCAAATATATAAAGAACTGAGTCAAATCTATAAGGACATGAGTCATTCTCTAATTGATAAATGGTCGAAGGATATGAACAGGTGGTTTTCAGAAGAAGAAATCAAAGCTATCTAGTGTCATATGAAAAAATGCTCTAAAATACTATTGATTAGAGAAATGCAAATTAAAATGACTTTGAGGTACCACCTCACACCTATCAGACTGGCTAATATGACAGAAAAGGGAAATAACGTGTTGGAGGGATGTGGAAAAATTGGGACCTTAATGCATTGTTGATGGAATTGTGGTATATGATTGTGATGGAATACTATTGTGCTATAAGAAATGACAAGCAGGATTGTTTCAGAAAAATCTGGAAAGACATATATAAAGTGAAGTTGCAATGATCCAAGACAATTCTAAAGGACTGAGGATGACAAATGCTATTCATCTCCAGAAAAAGAACTGATGGAGTCTGAGTGCAGGCTGAACCACACTTTTTTTTTAAAGTTTATTTTTCTTGTTTATTTTTTTGGTCTATGTTTTCTTTCCCAACATGGGTAACATAGAAATAGGTTTTGTGTGGCTGAACATGTATGATCTATATCAACATGCTTGTCTTCTCTAGGAGGAAGGAGGGAATTTGGAGCTCAAAATTTTTAAGAATGAATATTAAAGATTGTTTTACATGTAACTGGAAAAAATAAAACATAAAAAATATAAAAATAAAAACATCATTCTGAGAAGGGACTCATAGACTTCACTGCACTGCCAAAGGGAACCAAGACACATGAAAAAAATATTAAGAATCCTAGATTGTAAGTCCCTTGAGGGGAGGGACAGTCTTACTCACCTTTATACTTTCCCCAGAGCCCAGTACAGTGATTTGCATATTTCCGGAGCTTAGTAAGTAGTGGTTGGCTTGTTAGTCCACTTTCTTCTCCAAGACAGCCACACTTGTCTTTGGCTCAGTGTCTCTGGAGTTTACTGCAGTCTAGACCCCAGGAGGCAAAGGGATGCCCTTGCCGTCACATCCAGTGTCCTTCTTTGCCCTTGCCCTGGTACCTGTACTCAAGCTCTGTTTTCAGGGAGGAGCCAAGGGCTCACATCCAAGTTCAGATCCTTCCAATTTGGCTGGAAATGTTTTCTGATCACCTGATGGGCTTTTCAGGGAGGAGGAGTTATATAAAAGATGGTCCACATTCACTTGCTGGGCTGAGGAGGCTCCAAAGCAGCTTGTTCCAACCCCAGGCACCTCTAAGCACCCAGATTACACAGGTAACTTCCTTCAGCATTTCTTCAAGCTCTAGGGACCCCTCACTTCAAGGGTCACTGAGTTCTAGTAGTTAGATAAAGACTCTGGGTGTGTGTGTGTGTGTGTGTGTGTGTGTGTGTGTGTGTGTGTGTGTGTGTGAATACTAGGAGTACTGAGACCTGGGTTTTACTTCTGACTGTGCCACTAATGCATTGTGGTAACTGAACAAATTGATGAACCTGTCTGGACCTCAGTTTTCTCCTCTAGAAAATAAGGGGATTAGACTAGATCGGGAGTTCTTAACCTGAGAATTCATGCACCTGTGGATGCAGTTCAAAGTTGTGAACTTGGATGACAAAAGAAAAAATTAAATCTTTATTTTCACCAACCTTGAACAGAAATTTAGCGTTTCCTTCAATTATTTAAAACCATTATTTGGTGAAGAAGCCTAAAGGTTTCATTAGACTGCCAAAGGGTTCTAGGGACCCCAAAAGGCTGAGAACCTCTGGACTAGCTGGTATGTGAGCCCCCTTGCAGATCTAACATCCCACAATTTGTCTGTATCTCTGAAATGGAAGGGAGGGGTGGCATCTGAAGACCTCTCCACTGGCCTGTGAAGCTGGGAAACCCTAGACTAAGTGCAGGATGAAAAGCTGTTTCCCATTTGTCCCAGGAACCTCCTGCTTGATATTAGCCCAAGCTTGATATTAGCCTTGGGAGGCAGGTGTTCTGAGCTGAGGATGATATGGACCCTGGAGAAAATTCATTCTGTTCACCCTGTGCTTGGTTGTACTCAGGATTCAATGCTCCCACACTCCCAAATCCTCATTCTCTCAATAATGGAGAGGATTTGCTAGAATATTTAGGACCAATCTATCTTGGGAGATCCAGGGTATGGCTCTTTCCATAGACTGTCCTGTGAGTTGTCTCCTGGAAGCCCCTATTCCCCCATCTTGACTCTCCCCAAACTCATTCTGACTTCTTCCTTTTATTTCCTTTTAGACAGTGAAGATGGTGGTGGGCCTGTTGGCTTCCATCTCTATTTCAGAGCTTCTCTTGGCTTTTGTTGTCTTCTGCCTGATCTACTGGGTCATTGAATCTTACTCTCAAAGGGTCCCAAAGGACTCAAAAGACCACCTGGACCCTGGGCTTGGCCTCTGATTGGCAACATATTGACTCTGGGAAAGAATCCTCACTTGGCCCTGGCCCAACTGAGAGAGAAGTATGGGGATGTGATGCAGATTCAGATTGGCTCCACCCCAGTGCTTGTGCTGAGTGGCCTGGAAACCGTCAGGCAGGCCCTGGTGAAGCAGGGGGATGACTTCAAGGGCCGACCTGACCTCTACACCTCTTCCCTTATTACAGATGGCTATAGCATGACCTTCATCCCTGATTCAGGGGAGGTCTGGGCAGCTAGAAGGAAGCTGGCCCAGAATGCTCTCAATACTTTCTCCATATCTGCCTCCCCATCCTCTTCCTCCTGCTACCTGGAGGAGCATGTGAAGAAGGAGGCTGAATGCTTGATCCAGAAATTCCAGGAGCTGATGGATGGGGCAGGATGCTTTGACCCCTACAATCATGTGGTGGTATCTGTGGCCAACGTCATAGGTACCATGTGTTTCAACCAAGGCCATGCCCATGAGAACCAAGAATTGATGAGAATCATTACCAAAAGTCACTGAGTTTTCTGAAAGTGCCTTCTCAGGCAACCCAGTTGACTTCATCCCCATCCTCCGCTACTTACCAAACCCCAAACTGCAAAGATTCAAGGCTTTCAACCAGAAGTTCTTAAAATTCATGCAGAAAACCATCCAGGAGCACTACAGAGGCTTTGATCAGGTAAATTCAACTGTGAGGTAGGGTCCCTCTCCCTCCCTAGAGGCTCCCAGAGTCTTGGCCTTCTCACCTTTAGCCTAAGTGGCACAGTGGGTATGAACATTGGGCGGGGAGTCAGGAAGACCTGAGTTCAAATCTGATCTTGGAGACTACCTATCATGCAACTGGGGAAATCAGGATAATAACAGCACCTTCCTCCCAGAGTTATTGTGAGGATCAAATAAGATAACATCTGGAAAGCTCTCTGCAAACCTGAAAGGGCTGTAGAAATGCTAGTTTTTATTACTATTATTATTAGTCTTCACTAGTGATTTCTTCTATCCAAGTGATGAATCACTGACTATTATTGAGTTTATACATGTGCTCTTTCTTAATTGATCTTCACAGCTCTGTGAGGTAGATAGAATTACATCTTTGTTTTACAAGACAGAGAGTTGAGGTGCAAAGAATCCAGGTGATTTGCCCTGGTCACACAAATAGTAAGGAGTAGAACTCAGGTCCTAACCCAGGTCCTCTGACTCCAAATAGAAGGATTTTCCTCTCATGTCCCAGACATCTTTATTAGCATGGAGGCAGAAGGAAAGCTCTGAGATGAAGAAAAGGAAGGTAGCAGATGGTTCTGAAAAAGCCTTGGGATGGGAGTCAAGAGCTCTGAAACTGAGTCATTGGATCATAAATGCACACAAGTGACTTACACTATACAAGCTTGTTGTGGTGCTAGTGATGTTTTCCCACATGGCCATTCTTTTATCTCCTTTAAAAATTAATTGAAATTAATAAATTTAATTAATTTTTATAAAATGAAAATCTGCCTTCTCCCTTGCCCACCTCCTTCTTCTCATAAAGAAAGAAAAAAAGAGCTCCGGTTACAAACACGCATAGTCAAGCAAAACAAATTCCCATACTGGCCATGTCCAGAAAAAAAAAAGAATGTGTTTGAATCTGTTCTCCAAGTCCATCAGCTCTCTGTCAAAGGTGGGTAGCATATTTCATCACAAGTCCTCTGAGATAGAAGGGTATGTTGAAATCATGTAGTCCAAATCACTCATTTTTACAGAAGGGGAAACTGAGGCTTAGAGAAGGGAATGCATTTACCGAAGGTCACACAGCTAGTTAGTGTCCTGATCCCTGATCCAGTGCTGTTTTTTTTAAAAAAAATATTTTAACATTCTTTTCTTTTTAAATGTTGAGTTCCAAATTCTCTCCCTCCCTCTTACCCCTCCCCCACAATATGATATCAATTATACCTGTGAAATCATGTAAAACATATTTCTATATTAACCATATTTCCTAAAAAAAAAAAGAAAGAAAAATAAAGAAAGTGAGAAAATTATACTTCAATTTGAACTCAGAGTTCATCAGTTCTCTCTGGAGGTGGATAGCTTTTTTTATCATGAGTCATTTTACTGATCAGAGTAGCTACCTTTTTCACAATTGATCATCATTACATTGCTGTTGTAATGGACAATGGTCCAGGAGACAATAGTCTCCTGGTTCTTCTCCCTTCACTTTGCATCAATTCATATAGATCTTGCCATGTTTCTCTGAAACCACCCCCCTTGGCATTTCTTATGGCACAATAGTATTCCATCACCATCAAACGCCACAACTTGTTCAGCCATCCCCCAATTGATGATCATCCCCTTGCTTTTCCATTCTTTGCCACCACAAAAAGTTTTGAGAATTAAATGAGATAAGGAAGGTGAACGTGCTTTGAAGAAATATACTGTTGTCAATATTTTTTGTACATAAAGGTCTTTATCCTTTTTCTTTGATCTCTTTGGGGTACAGACCTAGCAGTTGTATTGCTGGGTTAAAGGGCAGGCAGAGTTTTATAGCCCTTTGGGCACAGTTCCAAATTGTTTTCCAGAATGGTTGGACCAGGTCACAACTCCACCAATATTTTATTAGTGCACCTATTTTTCCCTCCTCCACTCCAGCATTTGTCATTTCTGATAGGTTTGAGGTAGTACCTCACAGAAATTTGCATTTCTCTAATCAATAAGGGTTTAGAGCATTTTTTCATATGACAATAGATAGCTTTGGTTTCTTCTTCTAAAAACTGCCTGTTTATATCCTTTGACCATTTATCATTTGGGGAATGGCTCTTACTTTTATAAATCTGACTCTGTTCTATACTCAGTATATATTTGAGATATGAGGCCTTTATCAGAGAAATTGCTATAAAACTTTTTGATATTACTTCATTGCCCATAGGCAATGAAAGGTATCTTTTAGTAAAATGTTGTTTCCCTGATTATCTCTTTTAATTAGGTCTGTTTTGCTTTTGCTTTGTCTGAGATCAGGATTGCTACCCTTCTCTTTTATAACTTCAGCTGCAGCATATTAGATTCTAGCACAGGCCTTTATTTTAATGCTGTATGTGTCTTTCTGTTTCAAGTGTTTCTCTTGGGGCAGCTAGGTGATGCAGTGGATAGAACACTGGCCCTGAATTCAGGAGGACCTGAGTTCAAATCCGGCCTCAGACACATAATACTTACTAGCTGTGTGACCTTGGGCAAGTCACTTAAGCCCATTGTCTAGCCAAAAAAAACCCAAACAAAAAAAACCAAGTGTTTCTCTTGTAAACAAGATATTGATGGATTCTGGTTTCTAATCTATTCTGCTATTTGCTTCTGTTTTATGAGTGAGTTCATCCTATTCACATTCACAGTTATGACTACTATGTATTTCCTTCCATCCCATTTTTTCTGTTTCTTCCTCTCTCTCTCTCTCTCTCTGTCTCTCTCTCTCTCTCTCTCTCTCTCTCTCTCTCTCTCTGTCTCTCTCTCTCTCTCTCTCTCTCTCTCTCTCTCTCTCTCTCTCTCTCTCTCTCTCCCCTCCCCCAAGTCTGTTTTGCTTCTAACCATTGTTTCCTTTAATCCACCCTCCTTTTTATCATCCCACCCTTCTCTTATTCCCTTCCCCTCCTATTTCCCTATTGGGTGAGTTATATTTCTGTACACAGCTGAGTGTGTATGTATGTATATTCTTCCCTCTTTAAATGAATTCCCGTGAGAGTGAAATTCAAGCATTGCCGGCACCCTCCTCCAATTTCCGCCTCCATTGTAAAAGTTCTTTCTTGAAATCCTCTTTTATTTGAGAAATTTTTCCCCATTCTACTCTTCCTTCCACTTTTCCCCAGAGCATCCCTTTCTCACCCCTTCATTTTTTTGGAGATCATGCCAACATAATTAATATCTCACTGTCCTAATAACCATAAAGTTCTAATAGGAGTTACATGTATCATTATCCGATTTAGGAATGTAAACAGTTTTACTCGATTGAGTCCCTCAGGATTACTCTTTCATATTTCTCTTCCAGCTCTCTTTGAATAGCACTCTGCTATCTCTCCCTCTGACTAGCTTTATGACCTGGAGTAGCTCACTTCTCTGGGCCTCAGTTTCATTATCCATAAAATGAAGTTACTAACTCCTGCCCTGTCTCCTTACAGGAGAGTTCTGAGAATTAAATGAGTTGAGGAAGTGAAAAGTGCTCTGAAGAAGCATATGCTGCTTGTGTTCCTATCAGGGGTAATTGTGAGTGGTCATTGTTTACCCACTGAAACTCTATATCCAAAAGGCTAATTGTCTTCTTTGGGAGAAGAGGAGGAAGTCAGTGTTAGTTTTCATCTATGTTCCCAACAACCTTTTCTTGGCCTTGAAACAGAATCCTTGTAGAAGGATTATAATAAGGTATATTTCAGAAAGAAATGCCAATGGATTTCCAGACCACACATATGGTCCCTTCACCTGGCTTAGGTGTGAGCTGCCCTGTGACCCCCTTCATGAAAGGGCCTGTGCTTGGGTGTTTATCTCCTACAGAATGTATTACTAGTATGACTCAGGGTTCCCAAAACTGCTCCAGAAGAAACAAATGGTGGCCACTATCCTTGGGCTTCCTGGATGAGAAGGTGAGTATCTGCCTGTCCTTTCTTTCAGAATAATATTGAAGATATCACTGGCGCTCTGTTCAAACACAGCCAGGACAAGGCTCAGGCGGACATCAGCACCAATATACCAGAGAGGCTGATCACCAATCTCATCAACGACATCTTTGGAGCTGGTAAGATCCAGCTTTCCCTTCCCTATTATCTGATGTCCTTGCCTGGGATCACAGCATTTTCATAGTGTGGCATCCTAACCTGCATGTGGGTCTCCTAGATAAGACCGCCCTAGATTCACAGGCCTCTCTGTGTCCCATATCTACTCAAAAATCATAGCTTATGAGCAGCCACTAAAGTGTTTGCTTTAAAAAATTGTTTTTATATGGATTCATAATCTATCCCTCTTAATATCCCCCACTGAAAAACAACAAAAAGCTGAGAAACAGAACCCTCATCATAAAAACACATAGTCCAGCAAAACAGTTTGCTACCTTGGTCATGCCTGGATATACATTTGTCTCTCTACATTGGAAGTTCATCGTGTCTCTGTTAGAAGGTGAGCTTTTGGGACTTCTTCTTGGCATTGGTGAGAATTCTAAAGGTTTTCAAAGTTTTTTTCTCTCCAATGTTGTTGTCATTTTGTAAATTGTTTTCCTAATCCTGCCCACTTCAGTCTGCATCAGTTCATAGAAGTCTTCTCAATTGCTTCTGAAACTGACCATTTGGTTGTTTTTCATGACACAATAATAGTCCATTGCCTTCATATACTATAATTTGTTCAGCCATTCTCCAATAGGAAGATAGACCCTTAGTTTCCAGTTTTTGGAATACTACAAAAAGAGGTGCTATGAATATTTTTATATTTAAAGTTCTTTTTCTTCTTTCTTTGATCTCCTTAGGACATAAGCTTGCCCGGGTATAGCTGTGCAAAGGGGATGTAGTGTTTTGTAACTTTGGGGCTTAACTCCAACTGCTTTCCAGAATGGCTCAACCATTTCACAGCTCCACTATGTCCTAGTGTACCTGTTTTTCCACAGCCTCTCCAAATTTGTCATTTTCTGTTTTTGTCATCTTTGCCAGTCTAATGGGGGAAAAGTGAAGTCTCAAAGTTCCTTTAATTTGCACTTCTCTCATTACTACTGAACTCCCATAATACACTAGAATTATAGAGTCTGATGGTGCTCACCAAAATCTGAGCCCCACTGAAAAGACAGAGTCAAGAAATGGGGAGTTTGCTCCCTGTAGACTGCAAGGGAGGGCGGAAGAAGCCCCAATACCATGTGCGGCATGCATGGATCTTCCTCACTTCATTCTCTGACCATTCCCTCCCTGATGATCCGCTCTGTCCAGGTTTTGAAACAGTCACCACGGCCATCTCCTGGAGCCTCATGTACCTTGTGACAAAGCCTGAGATCCAGAAGAAGATCCAAGAGGAGCTGGGTAAGTGAAAAAAATACTGGAGAGTATACAGAGCCCCTTAAAGTCTGCCAAGCGTCTTACATGTTATCTAAGATTGTTCTCCCAACAAGCCTGTGAGGGGAGTAAGTACAGTGGCTATTGTCTCTCTTTCATAGATTAAGGAAGCAGTAGCTTTGTAGAGGTCAAGTGAACAAGCACCTAAATGTCTATTATGTGCCAGGCACTGTGCTATGCATTGGGAGATCCACAGCCTATCCACAAAGAAAGGCAAAACAGTCCCTGCCCTCAAAGAGCTTCCATTCTGATGAGGAAGGCAACATGTAAATAACTGTGTGAAAACAAGGGATGGATAGATAGACAGGGAGGCAAGCAGAGAGATATGAAAGAGAAGAAGAGGGGAGAGAGAGAGAGAGACAAAGAGAGAGGATGAATTAAAAATAATCTCAGTGGAAAGGTACTAGCACTAAGGGGGCTTGAGAAAGGCTTCTTGCACAAGGTAAGATTGTAGCTGGGACCTAAAGGAAACAAGAGAAAGAGAAGGTAGAGATGGAGGAGAGTGTTCAAGACCTGGAGGGCAGCTAGCGATCATGACCTGATTCGTTTTTTGTTGTTGTTGTTTTGTGTGTATGTGTGTGTCTTTTTTTGGGGGGGGAGCGAGGCAATTGGGGTCAAGTGACTTGCCCAGGGTCACACAGCTAGTGTCAACTGTCTGGTCTGAGATGGGAGTTGAACTCAGTTCCTCCTGACTCCAAGGCCAGTGATCTATCCACTGCGCCACCTAGCTTCCCCTCGTGCCCTGATCTGGAAGATGGAGCACCATGTGTGAGGAACAGAAAGGAGGCCAATGTTACTGGCTCACAGCTTATGGGGAGGGGAGTAAAGTGTGGGAAGATTGGAAAGATAAGAAGGGGCCAGGTCATGAATGTCTTTACAAGGCAGAAAAATTTTCATTTGATCGAGGAAGCAACCGGAAGCCGGTGGAGTTTACTGAATAAGGGTGACATGTTCAGAGCTGCACATTAGGCAGATCCATTTGACCACTGAGGGGAGGATGGGCTAGAAGAGAGAGGCAGGGAGACCAACCAGCAGGCTAGTGTCTAAGCAGGTGACGTTGACATTTATTTATAGTCACACAGCAAATGTCAAAGGTATAAGTTGAACCTGGGTCTCTCTAGACTGCACATCCAAGATGTATTTTCCCATACCCCATCACTTCTCAGGGTATAACTCTTCATGACTCACTAAGGGGGCAGGGGGAAATAAACGCTCTGAGGGGAAAAGCAGGGCAGCTTCCTTCTCCCTCTGACTCTCCTCCCTTCTATAGACACCATGATTGGCAGAGATCGAAGGCCCCTGCTTGCAGACAGACCTCAGCTACCTTACATGGAGGCCTTTATCCTGGAGATTTTCAGGCATACGTCCTTTGTCCCTTTCACCATCCCCCACAGGTAAGGACCATTAAGGCTTCTTTCAAAATCCCTAGGTCATCCATCCCCTCTTCTCTACCCCCATTGTCACCAACCTCATCCCCTCTGGCTGTGTCTCCTCCACCTTCTCTGATTCAAGTCCTGATCAAGACTTCCAAAAGTTCTCTCATC